CAGCTCCAGCAGGACACAGGTCACGGACCATCGTCCAGCTACAGGAATGACACTTGAACTGTGTGGGAGCCACGTGAGGGTAGCTGGCAGCTCCAGCATCCACCTGTCTCATTTCCTTTTCTACATACATTAAAAACACAGTAAGTCAAATGCTGAATGCTGGGATATGGAGGTACTGGGGCTAATCGCACAACCTTCATTCAGCCTTCGTGTGTATAAACACAATACTACTGCCCTTAATTACAGGATTATATGAACTTTTCTCCCATTAATCCCACTGGCTCACTTGGTAGACAGATCATCACGATCATCCTCAGATACAGCAGACACATACGTACATCTCGGATCAAGTGCTCAGCACAAAGAACGCTGAATTTATCCTTCTGCTTTACCACACCCCTCTGCAGGGTGTCATTCGACAAAACATAAAATTACAATGTGCAAAATGCCCAGGTTTATTTATTGAAAAATACTTTTATAAAGCTCATCCCTCCATTTTAAGGGTATGAAATACACTAACAAGCAAATACATCTTTCTAAACTAAGCAGACAGTATAGGAGACCAGAAGAAAGCAAATGTCATGACAGAGCATTATTCTCCAACTACCTTGCAATTCAGTGTATTCCCCACCCACCATGCAGGAATACGTTTAAATCAAGAACAGCACAGCGAACTTCCCCAACCCATCACAGTCAGTGTAAACATATTACCTTATTTTTACTGTCTCTTTAATAAAAGGAATTATAAAAATGATTTTAAGAACTAATAATCTAGGGACAAATTTTGCTGTCAGATAAGACTTTCTTTGAAGTCTCAGTGCATAGTTTGGAGACTTACAAATGAATTATGTAATAGATCTGCAAATGCATAAGATTATGAATCTCTTCAGCCAAGCTTACTTGAAAAAAAAATATTGTAAACTATTTCCACACCTATTAATTAACTAGTTCTTTCAGAGACCAAAAAAGAAGCACAGTAAACATAAAAGCTTGAAAATTGAATGGTTTTGTGCTAACCCTGCCATTGATATTGGCCTATAACTCTTAAAGTTACTCTTTCGTTTCTGCTTCATCCCTCAGATTTTTTTACAATTAGTCAATATTTGTAAATTCATGAATAATTATTTAATCAAACACTTTGCATTAACCTCTTTGAACATGTAAACACTTGTTAAAGCCAAGCACTATCACTGATTTCATAAAATAATACTTTGTAGCTACTGACATGTACAGTTTACAACAGATTATTAAATAATTAACTTACTGACATCCTTCTCCAATAAACTTGCAGCAGAGACTGATAAATGTCACAGCTACTACAAGTAGGAATACGGGGTAAGAAAGTCTGAACAACTTGTTCATAGTCATACCATGAAAAACAAGCGCCAAAGCAAATTACTTTATCAGCCTTTCTTTCCATTCTCATTTTAAAATCCTGTCTATAAAGTTACACTCCAGTTTTGCAGAAACATAGATACTGAGTAGTCTTGTTGAGGCAACTGGTACATAAAGTACATGCAAGAAAGAGTGTTCATACATGACTGCAGAACTGGTCCTTATTTAGGACTCCCAAATTTCTGTCTGGGATTTCCTGGACAGAAGTCTACACATCTGTGTGCCACATGTGCAATGAGTCTACCGTATGCAGAATGCACTGAAACTACTGCACTGGTGACCCGTGCCTACAAATGGGACTCATTCAGCGTGAGTACGGGTATCACTGGCACCGTGCACGCAGAGGGGATCCAAGGTGTGCAGGAAGCCTTACACCTACTGTGCATGTGCACCGTGGAAACATCTGGGACCGCTCTGGCTGAGCTGTGGAATATTCAGAGAAAAAAAACCCAAGAAGTAGGAAAAAAGTCTGAAGCACTGCAGATCACATCTGGAACAAATTCCCAGCAGAGATGGAGGAACAGCGAAGAAACCCAGATTTACAGTAGCTCTACCAAGAGGCAGAACTGGCTTTAGGCATAAGCCATGTGGGAAATTACCTAGGGCAGCAGATTTATGGGGACAAGCTATAAATAAAGAGGTGGTTCAGGTTATCAGGGCAGCACCTCCGGGACCATGCCTACACCAGCCTCACCATCTCCATTGCCTTCTAACGCCATCCTCCTCTCATGGCTGTGCAAGTGAAACCAAGCGATCACTTGCCCAGTAGTGGGCAGGAAACAAGTAGCTTGTGCTCTGACTTTGCCCCATCCTTTCATCAGCTCTGAGCTGGAAGACAGGAGAGGTTTTAAAGGTAACTGTCTCTCTCAGAAACAGGGAGGAAGATACAGCAGAGGAGAACTGGAAACTACCCCTACAGCTTCTCACTTTCCCTCTCTGCTTCCCCATCACTGGTTTTCAGACAGTGGCGAAGGAATGTGAACTGCCTCGCTGGGCACAGATAACAGAGCCATGACCGTCCACCACTAGAGCAAGGAAACTAGCCTGGTTTTGGTATCCTGAATCACTCAGGGAGAATGGTGCCTGAACAACCACTACTAAATCTTTTTAAAATTATTTTTTCCCCATCCACGTTTTGCTTATATCGTGGAGAAGCCTTGAACCAGCCATGCTTACAGCATTAGCTTAAGATTGATTGGCTGATTTTGCCCTGAAGTGGATTAGGAGCTCTGATATGATTTGCTCGGCTACTTATGGGAGCAGTAAACTTCAACCAAGAGACAACAACAAACACAAGTGTGTAAATATTATGAAAGTAGAGAGACAGTTTATACAACGATATGGGCTAAGATATCTTAGTCCTGAGCATGTTAGCCTTAGTTGCAAATATTTGTCACTGTAAAAATAATAAAGACTAATGAAGCAGAAACATAATACAGGTGGGACAGCACTTTATGAACCTTCTCCTACAAGCTGTTTAGTGGTTTCCACAGATGCTCAGTCCCTTGCATGATCTTTATTGATCCTTATTGCCTACCAATATATTGTGGTAGTGTGTTTGGCTACCAAGTTGCAAGAGAAGCTTGAGATAATATAAAGATGATGCCCATCCATAGCAGCAGTGGAAGATTTCAGGAAAATGATAATATCCAAATGAAAGAAACTCTGGATTCATCTCTTAACACCCTGGATGTAAGTGACCAAATCAAGGAAATAACCCTTGCTTATTTCCTTGTTACTACTAGTATAATCCCTTGATCATACCAGAATAAAGATGTTCCTAAGTAACAAAATTTAATTGTCCTTTCTCATGGCTAATCCATCATGGAATACTCCCCTGAACAGCCATCACGCGAGATTTTTTCCATGCAGGTTCACCAATGACAGAATCACCAATGACTTGGAGATAGTTCACTAACGCAGACAATTACTTATTCAGCAAATGTAGTACTTGATCCATTCATTCTTTTTGCTGCTAACAGCCAATTATGGGTGACACACATCTGTTTTCCTCTGTATACAACAAACCATTGACCACATTTTCCCAGTGGTTCTGCTTTGCTGCTTGTTATGTCAGACAACTGCTAATGCCGGAGTCTGAATAATCAGATTAGAAACATCTCTGATGTCTAGTGCTCTTTATGCCATTTTATTCTTTTTGATGCTGTTCCTTTTCTGTTCAGAACAGTAAAACGCCAGGAGACATGATATCCCGTTTGATCATTTCAGCAGGTACTGAGTGGATATAATGTTTTTTTAGCATCTGTGGATAATTCCTTGAAACATCTTTTGATTTCTGTAAGTGTTTCAATTATACTCTTTACACATGCAAGACCAATGAGTCTGATTTCTGGATTAATTAAAAATAATTTTTTACTTTAATTTTAATAGGCATGCGTCACCTCTAGGGAACATTACACCATGTTTCAGGATGACATATTTATCACAAAAGCTGGCTGTGGAAATAAGGGGTGTTGGACTCAGGAAACTTCCAAAGGGACTGAGACAAACCAGGACAAAACCTCAATTTCAGTATGAGTCAGCTAAATGCCAAGGCAGTCCCACAAAGCTTGGGCATCTGATTTCCCTTCTGGTGGAGAGATAATTTTAGACTGATGTGTCAAATGACTGCTTTAAAGTGAGTTATACTGTGTAAGAAGAACCACATGACTCATTATAAATTCATTTGAATGTTAAAAATTTGGAGTAAAAGGGCAAAACTACAGGTGAATCCAGTGGGACAGGATTTCACCTTTTATTCTCGTAAAAATGATAATAAGAATAAAGATGCTAGTGAAAAAAACCCAAAACAACAACAAAAGATAAACCCCCAACCCCCAACGAAACAGCCCTGGTGAAGCGTCCCTTTGAAAGTACTCCCACACAACCCTGCAGTGCAATTCAGTCCTGCTGAGAAAGTCAGCTGTGACACACTTTGCTTTTTGCATCCATAGGCAGAGTTATGGCCAGATCCTGGGCTGATAGAAATCAGCATGGCTCTGTTGACTTCAAAGGAGTTATTCCAATATGACAAAAAAAAAAATCCCCTCACATTTGTAACCTAATAAGGATTTTACTCAGGGTTTACAAGGAATTCCAGAACACAACCTTTAGCAGCTTACCTCTAGCAGCAGCTTAAAAGTCAGGTACAATAGTAAGAACTTGTTCGTTTTCTCATTTTCTGAATATAGACTCATTTATAAAAGCAATATATATCTTGTGTAATTTATGTCTCAATTCTGATGTTATGATTTAATTTGATGATCTTAAATGCATCACAGCGTCAAACATTCTGAAGTAGATTTTCCACCGCTCCTCTTGGAGCACTCAGTATGACTCTAACGATAATGACTTGAAACCCTAGCTTGTGAAAGCCCCGTTTCTGCAAAAACTGATGAAGATGATATTTGAACAGAAGGAGGCAGTTCAGATAAGAGAACTGTGCATTTGAAGCACTAGCTATGCATGACCCAGATTTTCTGCATATTGAATACCGCTCACGAATAGAGGTCAGAAGTATTATTTCAACCCATTGCAAAGCTCCTGGTCAGAAACAGATGTAAATAAAGAAGTTCACAGGCTTCTCCTGACTTACTGTTACTCACCAGATATCTCCTCTAGGCACTGTTTGGCAGTCTTACTGAATGACAAATCCATTTTAGTAGGACTGGTGCAGGAGTCAGCAAGTGGTAAAGAGGTACTGTCATTTTCTGAGAGAGTTCTGAAATCAAGCAAGAAGATTGATTATTATTCTCTGCCATTCATGTACTAATGGAAACAAATGTTACTTGCAGCTCCATCTAGAACCGTATATGGTGAAAATACCATGAATGTCACATTCTTACTGTGTTAGTTTGACTCCAGCTACACAAATTTGCAAGCAACTAGGAACTCTCTCTGTCCCTCTCTTCAGGAACAACTCAGAGTTAATGTCGGGAAATTTGGAGCCATTTTGTTTCCTTGCTTTTTCTCTGCAAGAGGTGTCAACCAGATAGAGGCAGAATCCATTTAAATTGGTTAAGTCACATCCCTGCACATATGTAAGGGAAATGAAAACTTGTAATTGCTGAAATATTAAGTGAGAAAGGCCATGGGGGAAGAAGCTTATGCAAGGCTGGAATGGAAATCTGGCCCAGATATTTAAATCTATGTGCAGCTTCTTTTGATAATGCCCCTTATAGAACACTGAGGAAATGGAATAATAAAAGTTTCTCCATTAACTTGCTAACAGATAGCCCGTATTTTCTGTGATGGTATATTTCTGTGGATATCATTGATAAATTATAATGGGTACCCTTTGTCGAATACAGTTATTTGCTATTGCATAATGGTAAGTAGCAAGAAATACTCAAGCACAGGGATTATAATACAAAATAGATCACACAATTATTGTCTCTTCTTAAGGAACAGCTGTATCATTTAGTTTACACAGGAACTGTTGAACCACAATGCCATTAAATAGCAACCTATACCACATTTCTATACAGTAAAAGTATACATCTAAAGATATACTAGCCACTTTTCAAAATACGATGGAAAAAAGTCTTCACTTAGAGCTTAATTTCTTACAGCTTTCCTGACATGAATAGCACATTCAGTCTTTTGATTTCTTAAAAGACTAGTGGAATATTTATATCCTAATTTTAAAATGTTACATTTAGAGCTCAATTCTCAAAATTCACCATAAAGTGTTTCCAATGACCAACTAAACTGTAAATACAAACATTTAACTGTGTGATGAATGTGTATTTTAGAAGTATAACTAATAAAAACAGTGACTTATTTCTCAAAATAATTTTATGGCAACTTATTTTATGAAATAACTTTCCAGTTAACATTTTCTTCAAAGTTACTTGCTGAATGGATTTGTTCAGTAATTCATGACAGTAACCAAGGGAGCGGATATATAGGCATGTACAACAGCACAAGTACTGTCGTGGTGGAATCTCTTGATGAGAATCATTTAACTCTGGCTCTACTTACACAGAAATAGAAATGTAAATGATGTCTGATCTGATGCACTTTCTTATCAGTTTCTTTACTTTTGGGATGCTGGAAATGGACAACTGCTCTATAAAAACCTATTTTTGATTCTCGTCTCTATTTCTCTCTGTCACACGCTACTGGAAACACAAGCGCAGCACATGCTGCAAGGGTAACTATGTCCTACTGACCTTGAATGTAATTTTACGTTTGGTGCTTGAGGACAGTGTCCTAAGTAATAAAAAGCCCACTCTATCCCTCTCCGATGAACACACACCGAAATTCCACAGTCCCACCTGCTTGCCCGTATTGCTTCAAATCATCAAAATGAATGAGGGTTATGTTTGCTTTCACTGAAAGCCACTTTGGGAGGCCGTGAATGCTCATGAGTACTCCTGTCTGGGTTTAGTGCTGAGACTTAGTGCTGGATCAGTCCAGGGCAAGCTATCAGCCCAAAAACACATCTCAGAAAAAGGCACTTATAATAACAGTAAAGGTAATTGAAGTGGTCTGCATTCTTTTTGTTAAACCCAAATCATGGAGCTGCCAGGGCTGGAGCCAGAGCGAGGCTGGAGTTCGTTAAGAGGAACACTAGAAAAGAGTAGATTGCTTTTGGTCTTTTAGGAAGAGCATCCAGCTAGGTGCGTGCAGTTCAAGTATTCCCAGCATTCTCCACAAAATGTGTATGGAGTTTACATCAGTCCAGTTTTGCCTGTTCTCCTTCTGACCCTATGGCATTGCATTCCTGATTGTACAACTGTTCAACCATCAACCACTGCATCAACCCAGAATCATAGAATCATAGAATCATAGAATCATTGAGGTTGGAAAAGACCTCTAAGATCATCGAGTCCAACCGTCAACCCAACACCACCATGCCCACTAAACCATGTAAAGGTAATTGAAGTGGTCTGCATTCTTTTTGTTAAACCCAAATCATGGAGCTGCCAGGGCTGGAGCCAGAGCGAGGCTGGAGTTCGTTAAGAGGAACACTAGAAAAGAGTAGATTGCTTTTGGTCTTTTAGGAAGAGCATCCAGCTAGGTGCGTGCAGTTCAAGTATTCCCAGCATTCTCCACAAAATGTGTATGGAGTTTACATCAGTCCAGTTTTGCCTGTTCTCCTTCTGACCCTATGGCATTGCATTCCTGATTGTACAACTGTTCAACCATCAACCACTGCATCAACCCAGAAGGGTGATGCAAACCCTTCCCTGAGTGACCAAGAGCCTTATGTGTAAGCTGTCTTCTAAGAGAGGACAGAAAGGATCCATTCCTGTTTATTTGGACACCTATCATCAGAAAACGATTAAGTGGTCTGGACCCCCACCAGACACTGGTACCCAGCATTTGCACTGATTCTTCATCTAGTGAATGGGGATAGGTAAACACAGAACTCCAGTGATGTGGATTGCCCTCTGGCAGTGACTATCGCCTGTATAGTCAATAGAGATGAATACATAACTCACTATTAACTGTATGGGAACACAGATGCTTATGTTGAAAGGACTGGATCTCCCTACAACAGTACAAACAAGTAATGAGTGATTTACAGTAGCTAAGTAAACTTTAATACGATGAGTGAATTTGTTTACTTAAAATAACAACGAATACAAGTTTTCACTTGTTCACAACTTTGCTTGCCCAGGTCACATCACACCTTCTAGAGATATACCAAATACCAATTAAAACACATTTCCATTATTCAGTGTTTTGTTGGCTTTTTTTCCGTTTTCAAAAACCTGATGCAGCTATAACCAGGAAGAGAAGTTGAAAAACACTGTGAGAAGGGAGATACTTCCAAAGATTTCCATTCCAAATTTTAGAATCTGATCGGTGGGGTTAATTGCAGCACAAAATCCAGTTTCTGGGACGTAAGATGGCATTAGAATCTAAGTCTTAAAGTAAAAATACTGAATAACAAATATCATATAACGCTAATAATTTTAAAATGTTTGACTTAATTCGTAGAAAGAAAACCATGGAAACACAAACCAAATGTAAATATGATGCGGTTTTCTTAAATCTATAGGCTGCCTGAAATAACAGATCTAAGAAGCATGAAATGTCCCTTTTATCTTACTTGAAACTTGAAAGTTTAAATATAATGTAAAATAAATGTGATTTGCTATCAAAACAAATAACAAAGAAACTGCTGTACTGGCTTCATTCAGCATTTTTATGTTTAATTTGGTAAAAACATCAATGATTCTAATTATCTGAGGCAACAACAGAAATCCCACAGAGCACTATGGATTTTGCAGCAGTTAAAGTTCTGCTTACTTGAGAAAACTGGTTATTTATTGTGGTGGTGATGGGCCAAAAGGCACCTGCCCAGCCCTTGGGCACCCATGATGGAGGTACCCCAAGGACGAACCTGGGGATGGGGCTCTCATCAATAGCTCTTCTCCCACCAGGTCTCCACTGGGTTGCCAGCTGCCACAGCAGCCTTTTGGTGCATGATGGCCAAGGCCCTGATTTTTTCTGGAGCTGAGCTTAGCCCAGATGGGCTGAGAATGGTCTAGTGGTGAAAGATTTCTAAGCAAAAACCATGTAGAAGCCCCAGCTCTTGGGGAGTAAGGAGGTCCAGGTGTAGACTGGGTGCCTAAAACTTCAAGTTGCTCTGCTCTAGGCCTGTCACAGGGTGTGATATATTAGAAGCAGCATGTAGATGCCTCTTTGCTTAGCTCAGCCATTCTGGTTCAAAAAAAAAAAAAAAAGGAAGGTGAAATCGTGAGATTTGCCTTCCCCTATGCTTCTGGCTTTTACTTCTTTCTCTGGGCCATATTAATCCCATGAATGACTCAAGTGATCTCTGCAGGACTGCAGCACAGATTAAGCTCCAGGCAACCAAACAGCAAATTAAAAGATCTCATTAACCTTACGTATTGGCTTTAATGAATGGCCCTCTATTCTCTACCTATTCACAGCCCCCTGCCTTAAAAAAAAAAATTAAATCCTTGCATCACTATTGACATCAAGGAAAGTTCCTCTACCTATTCACAGCCCACTGCCTTAAAAAAAAAAATTTAAATCCTTGCATCTCTCTTGACATCAAGAAAAGTGAAAATAATTTCAGTTTAGTCAAAGCAACCCCGTTGACATTTCTTCCAGTGCTGTGCATCTGCAGCACAGGTTAATTTAGGGAACTGTCATGAAAACAGGACAATCTGTTTTCTATTTTAATCATGGCAATCAGAGAATATATTTATACCCAACCCACTGAGTTATATGCTACCTATTTGTAAGAGCATCAAACTTGCTTAATGGGACAAATCCTGCTCTCAATCACACCTGCACAAGCTCATTCAGTTTGATTAAAATGAGCCTGTACAGGAGTAATTAAGAACAGAATTTGGAACACTGCTTAATAAGCTGTCTTAAACGCAGTCAGTCATTTCCCGTCTCTGACGAAATAGCCAACCTTTGATAAACACAGATAACATCAAAGATCTGTTTGGTTTTTACTCGACATTCCAAAAGATATCAGATGAATATGCTGGGTTTTTTTTTTTTCCAACAACTCTCTGAGGTGCAGCTGTCTTGAATGTGTATCACTGTCAGTGTAACAGACTGGCAGGACCACATCTGGAATATGAGCAGTTTGATCACCCATGTTCAAGACATGTGAGTTAAATTGGGAACAGCTGCAGGGAAGGGCTACTAGGATGCTCATGGGGAAGAAGAAGCCCTTCTGAAAGGAAAGAAAAGAGACAATTTGGTTTAGCCTTGCAAAAGAGA